AGCTGCTGAAAATTCTTAATGGAATTACGCTCGAGCCTCGAGAACCATTCCAATGACGCACCCTTCAAGTGTTCGACAAATAGGAGGCAGAAACTAGCATCTCTTTCGTCTTGCTGAGATTGGGGGTGTTTCTCGAGAAGGCTCGTCCCATTCCGTTCCGAAAAGCTGTGATGGGCGTCTTCGGGTTGGTTTTCCCTTCGTAGAAAGGAATTCTTCTTGGCGGCCTGCCTTCATCTCAAAGGAATTGCATGATGAACTTGGGATCGGACTGCCTTCATCTCGGCGGCCGTCTGAGCTATAGTAGCTCGTTCATCTCCTTCATCTGGTTGTTCTTTCGCGACTCGTTGACTTCGTCTTCTGTACTGCCACCGTTTAGAGCTGCTCAGCACGCATTGCCGCGTTGATTTCCTTTTCGTGCCAAGCTATCATGTTCCATCTGCTCGACCCATAACAGATTTTCCTCCTCCTCTATCAGGTTTTGATTTTGAAGCAAGACGTCATCCTCTTCGTTAGTCATTGCTCCTTCCAACGCCTCTTCGAGTTTGGCTCGGGTAATACGTCATGAAGTGCGGCTCGGCTAAAGGGCGAGCTCCTCTTCCTGGTCATCTTCATCATCGACAGTGATCGTCTCTGTGAGAATCCGCTCCCTTCTTCCCTAACCGGGAACCAGACGGACCGGCTATCAAATCCATGAGACCCCGAATCCGCTTTTCATCTGGATTGACTATCAACTTTGAACGCCCCCAACCGTCCCTACCAGTGAGCCTAACGCCGTATAATCTGGAGCCCAACGTCCTCTCTCTAGGCCCGTTGGCCCACCAAACACCCCTACCAGTGAGTCCAACGTCCTCTCTCTCTAGGCCCGTTGGCCCAGCACCGTCCAACGATTGGGCTCTTTCTAGGCCCATTCGGCCCACCCCTGTCTGACGGTCGGGAGTTGCTCCTTCCAACGCCTCTTCGAGTTTGGCTCAGATAATGCGTCCTGAAGTGCGGCTCGGCTAAAGGGCGAGCTCCTCTTCTTGGTCGTCTTCATCATCGATAGTGATCGTCTCTGTGAGACCCCACTCCCTTTTTCCCTAACCGGGAACCAGACGGACCGGCTATCAAATCCATGAGACCCCGAATCCGCTTTTCATCTGGATTGACTATCAACTTTGAACGCCCCCAACCGTCCCTACCAGTAAGCCTAACGCCGTATAATCTGGAGCCCAACGTCCCCTCTCTAGGCCCGTTGGCCCACCAAAGGCTCCTACCAGTGAGTCCAATGTCCTCTCTCTCTAGGCCCGTTGGCCCAGCACCGTCCAACGGTTGGGCTCTTTCTAGGCCCATTCAGCCCACCCCTGTCTGACGGTTGGGAGTCGCTTGGTCCGGGAGGCTCGTAAGAGGTGTCTACTGTCCCTGCAATCACTATGTGATCTTTCCCCGTGCTTTGTCCTCACTTGCACGGTACCGCAGACTACTTCCTGAGAGGTCACCCATACTGAGATTACTCCAGCATAAGCACGCTTAACTCTGGAGTTCTCTCAAGACACTTGACCAGAAAAGATAAGTGCACTCTGATGACATAGGTAGCCAAATTAATTCTTATAAACCTTTTCACACATATCAGAAATCGAGATGTCACAATTGTGAGACCCTGCTCCCTTCTTTCTTAACCGGGAACCAGATGGACCAGCTATCAAATCCATGAGATCCCGAATCCGCCTTTCATCTGGATTGGCTATCAACTTTGAACGCCCCCAACCGTCCCTACCAGTGAGCCCAACGCCGTATAATCTGGGGCCCAACGTCCTCTCTCTAGGCCCGTTGGCCCACCAACCGCCCCTACCAGTGAGCCCAATGTCCTCTCTCTAAGCCCGTTGGCCTAGCACTGTCTAACGGTTGGCCTATTTCTAGGCCCATTAGACCCACCCCTGTCCGTCGATCGGGAGTCGCTTGGTCCGGGAGGCTCGTAGGAGTTGTCTACTATCCCTGCAATCATCACGTGATATTTCTCCGTGCTTTGTCCTCACTCGCACGGTACCGCAGAGTACTTCCCGACAAGTCACCCATCCTGAGATTACTCTAGCATAAGCACGCTTAACTCTGGAGTTTACACTTGACCGGAAAAGATAAGTGCACTTTGATGACATAGGTAGCCAAATTAATTCTTGTAAGTCTTTTCACATATATCGAAAATGGGATGTCACAATTCTCTCCGACTTCCAAGGAATTCGTCCTCGAATTCTCAACCACGTCCCAAGACGCTACCTGGGTCCGAGCCGGTTAGCTAACCTAGGCTCTGATACCAATTGTGAGATCCCGTTCCCTTCTTCCCTTACCGGGAACCAGACGGACCGGCTATCAAATCCATGAGCCCCGAATCCGCCTTTCATCTGGATTGTCTATCAACTTTTAACGCCCCCAACCGTCTCTACCAGTGAGCCCAACGCCGTATAATCTAGGCCCAACGTCCTCTCTCTAGGCCGGTTGGCCCACCAACCGCTCCTACCAGTGAACCCAACGTCCTCTATCTCTAGGCCCGTTGGCCCACCACTGTCTAACGGTTGGCCTCTTTCTAGGCCCATTGGACCCACCCCCGTCCGACGGTCGGGAGTCGCTTGGTCCGGAAGGCTCGTAAGAGTTGTGATTGCGTAAAATTAGTTTTATTGCTTAGGGTTTATGTGATTGCGTAAAAGTTACATAATGAAAGAATTACATCGACTATTTATACTAAGTCTACAGGCCGCCTAACCGAGATTCTCTCTCGAGATTCTTGGAAATTTTCCTTTTCTTTTGTGTGGCTGACGACTCCAATCTCTCTTAGGGTAAAATCTCATGGACTCGTCCATCAGGCCTTTGCGATCCTGCAGCTCGTCGCATCGATATTTTTGGCCCTCCGGCTTGGCCCAATCTCTTCCTCCTTCGGCCCAATGTACTTTTTGTTAACAGGATTACTCTTTGGCTCGGGTACACAGGGAATCTCTTGAACCGGTGTGGTTCGGCTCAATTTCATGGTTCTTTGTATATTTAGCTCGGTCCAACTGAGATCTTTCTCAATTTAGCTCGGTTTTTGTCGAACCATCTCTTGGTTCGGCTCGGTCCAAGATGGAATTTGGCTCGGTCCAAGGTGGAATTTGGTTCGGTCCGGCTTAATCGAACTGATCGTTTGGTTTATCGGTTCATTTCGGTTCGCCCCCTTTTTCCAGTAAATCGTAGAATTGGGTTTTCCGAACCCCGATTTTAACACTTAGTCTTTTTAGGCTGTTAAAATCGTGGGGGTGAAAACCGACCTCAACATAAGAGATTCTGATCCAAGGTGCAACTCAATTTTGCCTCCTCTCACATCAATTATGGCACCTGCTGTAGCAAGGAATGGTCTACCCAAAATGAGAGGATCAACAGGCTCTTCATCCATTTCAAACACAATGAAGTCTGTTGGGAGTTCAAAATCACATATCTTCACAGGAAGATCTTTAAGAATCCCAATGGGGAGCCTGACTGATCTATCAGCAAGCACCAAAGATAACCTTGCAGGCTTGTAGGTTGTGAACCCCAACTTCTTTGCAATAGAGAAAGACATTAATCTCAGTAAAGCTCCCAAGTCACATAAGCAGCTTGCAAACTTCAAAGGACCAATAGTACATGGCAATGTAAAACTCCCTGGATCAGATAGCTTCCTAGGGATTGTCCTCCTCTAAATTATTGCATTGCATTCATGACTTAAGACCACCATTCCTTGTAGTTCTTTTGTCTTGTTCAAAATAGCATATTTTAAGAACTTCCCAAGTTGAGGGACCATAAAGAATGCTTCTATTATGGGCATGTTGAACTGAGTCTTCTCCAATTGCTTCTCAAAAGCAGCTATACCCTTATCTAAGAGCTGCTTCTTGAACCTTCCTGGAAATAGAAGTTTGTGCTGATAAGGTGGTGGTGGCACATATGGTTTCTCAGGCACCATCTATTTTGCCTCACCTTTGCTCTTGTCATTCTTAGCAACTTCATCTTCTGGTTCACTCCCTTGAGCCACCTCCCTACCAAGTTGCTCATTGTTCTCAATAAGCACATGGCTTTGTTGTTTTATCTCAGGTATATCCTTGCCACTTTTTAGGGTAATGGCATCGGCATACTCCTTTGGCTTTGGTTCAGGCTTCCCAAGAAGTGTTTCTTGTCGTTTAGAGGAAGAAGCTTGATTCTTTTTAAGCTATTTGATCTCATGGTTCATTGCTTCATACTTGGAACCCAGATCAGTAAAGCTATGTTCAACCCTTTGTTGACCTTGAAGCAGCTGCTATAGAACCCCACACAAGTCTGAACCCATCTGCTGCTGAATCGCCTGCTGCTGACCCATCTGCTGATGAACCTGCTGCTGCTGTCCCATTTCCTGTTGTCCAAAGTCTGGTGGAGACTTGCTGACAGGCGGTTGACTAGTAAAGCTGCTCCCCTAAAGCTGTGGCTGTTGTGCATATTGATGAGGTTGCTGCACAAACTATTGCTTGTTTTGAAAGTTCCCTTGAAACTGGTTCTTGGGAACAAAGCTCTGATTCTGGACTTGCTGAGGAGGATTCATTTGGTCTCCATGGTTGGCTACATTAGGGTTTCTATAGCTGATGTTCTGATTGTAGTTGTTGAACCTGTTGAACTTGTTCTGGTTCCCAATGTAGTGGAGTTCCTCCTGAGTCAAGGCATCTTCATTGACATTTTAAAAACATGTGGTTTGGTCATCAAACTCGCCAACATAGTGTGGTGGCTTCTGAGTAGCCAGTAAGACCTTATCAAGCTTGCTCTGAATTTCCTTGATATCCTTTCTCATTATTTGCTCCTCACTAGAGCCTTGTCCTCTATTGGCTCTGTCATAATCCTCCCCATAGGTGTCATTGCTCATAGCCAAGTTCTTTACCAGCTCCAGTGCTGCATTGATTTTCTTGGCAAGGAAGTTGCCATTGGAAGGTGTATCCAACTGATTCCTGAACTTTGGGAGAGCTCATCGGTAGAAAGTGCTGAGTAAAGAAGCTTCAGATAACCCATGATGAGGGCACTTGTTTGTATAGCTTCTAAATCTTTCCCATGCTTCCCGAAAGCTCTCATTGTTGTGTTGGATAAAGCCTGAGATTTAATTCCTCAACTTGGATGTCCTTGAGGTGGAGAAGAATTTAGAGAGAAAGGCCAGCTTACACTGCTCCCATGTTTGGATTAAACCTCTTGGTAAGTTCTTCATCCACTGATGAGCTTTGTCTCCTAAGCTGAAAGGGAACAGTCTTAACTTGAAGCTATCCTCTGAGACCCCATTAATATTTGTCAGATCACAGACTCTGTCAAATTGATTAAAGTGCTCAAGTGGATCCTCTATAGGCAGCCCATGAAATTTTGAATTCTGCACCATATTTAGAAGTGATGCTTTTACTTCAAAATTGTTGTTTTGGACTGGTGGAGCTTGGATTCCTGCTCTGTATTTAGCCCTGTCATTCTCTCAAACAAAGACATGTGGTGGCTCTTGACGCCTGGGAGGTTGAGGGTGGGGTTGATTGACCTGATGCCCTTGCTGGTTCTAGTGTTCCTGAGCTTGTCCCTGATGGACCTGTGATAACACCTGATTTTGACCACTTTTATGGATCCTTTCAATATCTTATGCAAGTGTTTTTACTCAGTTTTAAAGGTTTTTAAGTGATTTCCATATTTTAGAGTCTAAAAAGAGTTTTCAGGATATTTTGACAAAAGGGATGCACTTGGGAGCAAAAAGCACATCTTTGGATAAATTTGGACCGTCAGAAGTTTTTTAAACAAATTGAGGCCTTCCCACAGTCTGATCATCCCCAAATCTGGACACAAGATAGATGAGACAATCAGCTTTCTAATACAAGTGCAATCAAAGCAATCCAACGGTTAGATCTCCAGTTATTTTCGATGCACTGAAGGCAAATCAACACAGTCGGAAGCTCACCCGCGGCCAAAACATCATCCGCCAGGGGTGCGAAATTATAGACTGCGGAGACCTTATTTCTGAGTCTCAGAAGCCCATTTTAAAGCCCAAGTCACATCGTCATTCTGTCCAATATGTTCTTCGTTTCTTGGCCCCCCTGCTTCATTCTGGGCACCATCGGCCCTCTTGCTTCATTCTGGGCACCATCGGCCCTCCTGCTTCATTATGTTCTTCGTTTCTAACCTTTGTCTATTTCAATTCTCTGCAACTCTAAATAATTTTGTGATGTTAAACTCTACTACATTTGAGTAATTTCCCAGTTGGATTTTTAATGGATTTTTCAAAGGGAATTTCATGTCTTGATCATACGCTTTCTTCGATTCAAGGTTATTAATCTTCTAGGAGTCCTTCGTTCATTCTTGTTCCCTATGCTGTTTCTGTTGCTAGCCGCTTAGAAATTGATCTTAGTAATTGGAGCCACGATAGTGTTGTATCGAATTACTAGACCTAGAAGTGATCAAGCGAAGTCGCTATATGAGACGAAAGCTACCTGTAGAGAATCGCGAGCATGGAAGAATTCTGTTTTTAATGCATGATCTTACCAGCGGCATGAGAGCGAGAGTTAACTGCCGAGTTTAGGTATTTGTTGATTAGGGTGGTGAGAGTTGGCTAATCATACATGCGCCTATTCAAGTTCGTGATCCTTACTAGATGATTACCTTTATCGATTTGTTTGTCTTTTGATCAGTTCATGAACCCCTGCGAAAAATCTTTAGACCCAGCGTTTAGTTCTTATTGTTTTACAACCTTTTCATTTTATTTGCATTAGATTTAGTGATACCGAAACCAAAAACCTCTATTTCCCTTGTTCTACTAGTCTTAAGTTTTGATTGATTCATACTGAAAGCTCAAAATCTGTGTGGTTCGACCCCTAAGTACTACAGCGTACATCTGTGCATTTGCAGATATTTAGGGTTATAAATTTAAAACGTGAGGCTAGAAGTAACCCTTGATTCTCTTAGCATCAACCTGTGGCTGTGGAACCTGAACGTCAATCCCATGAGCTCCAATACCAATTCCCTGACCCTGAACATCTGCGTGAGCCTGATGCTGCTTGATCCCCTGGTTGTGCCATATTCTCAGCTTGACCTTCTGCCCTTGATCTTCTTGCTCTCCTCTCCAACAAGTTGATATTGTTTATGCATGGAAGAGGGAGGTCACAACTCCTGGATCTTGTTCTCATACACCTGTAACTCAAAGAAAAAACTCAAGAGTCTTATCAGTAAAATAAAAGAAAACACTTGATCTCAAGACTAAACCAGAGACTAATGCTCAATCCACAATTTGGCAACGGCGCCAATTGATAAACAAGAGTTTTTAGTTCTTATGGGTATCAATCCCTTTAAGCAGTTGCAGCATAAAAGGTAATCAATCCATAAATGTGAAAATAGACACTAGTTCATGTGAATTCAAACTTAATTCAAGCAGAACAAAGATTTTTGGTTTTCACAAGTAACAAATGCAAACTAAACTAAGCTAAAACAGGATTAGCAATGATTAAGGACTTAAACTAAACAATAACAAGATAGCAAATGATCAGGATGATGTCAATATGATGAAACCTAGGGATCTAGACATGATAGTTGGTTAGGGTGCATCAGGGTTTAATTAAAGAGCTAATGACAATGATGATGAAACCTAGGGATCTAGACATGATAGTTGGTTAGGGTGCATCAGGGTTTAATTAAATAGCTAATGACAATGATGATGAATGATCTAAGCAGCTTAGGATTCAAAACAAGTTTCAATCTTTCTCAAGTATCAAAACACAATCTCAAAACATTGCTCATACCCAATTATCATTAGAGACACAATGAAAGAAATGCATTAAACATCAATCCTAATATACTATCAATGCTCAAAACATCATTCCCATATGAATCAAACAATAGACTCTTGATTTATCTGGTTCAGACATTTCCTCAAACACCTTTTGGGTGGATGAAATGCCTAAGATCTGGGTTAGAGAGATTATATAATACCCAGCATTAAGATCAGCTAAACAAGACAAAGATGCATAAATCTAGTCCTAAGCAACATTAATCAAACCCCTAAGCACCCTAACCTACATATCTAGAACCCTAATGAGATGACTGCTCACCAATTATGATTAACTCTCTGATTCCTTTGCAAGAAGAGTAGTTACACATGATTAGTTGATGAGAATAGATAGATGGAGAATGGATAATGATGGAAAGATGATTAAAGCTCTAAAACTCTCTTGGATTAAACAGAAAAATGGGAGACATCTATATCAAAGTAGGTTCTTACATAAAAGAGGCAAAAAGCTTAAGGGAATAAGAGGTGAGTCTTGGGAAAAAACCCTAAAAACTATATATAGTCTTAAGCTCAGACTAGGTCAGCCCAGGACAAACTGGGTACTGACCCGGCTCAGATGGGTAAAGTATCTAGTGTGCGAGATGGTCTAGGTCTTGGCTCACCCACACAGGTCTTGGAACTGGTTCCTGCGAGTTAACTCGTTTTGCTTCATCTGCACTCCCATCTCGGTATGAATTGCGAGTTCACGTGCGGTTCAGGCCATTCTTCTTTCCCACTCGCACTCTCATACCACAGCCTGGAGAAAGCAAGTGTGCGAGATGGTTCTTCTTGACTCCAAATCGCACAGCCATGTCTGTTTGATTTCCGAACATTTGTGCGAGATGGTTGATAACTAACAGTTTTGGGACTCTTAAGGAGGTTATCAATCCCCTTAATCAGTTGTAGAATAAAGGGTTATCAATCCAACAATGTGGTTTAGACACTTATCTATGAGATAGTTTCTTAATTCAAGCAATATGAGTAATTTGGTTGGTAACAAGTGCTTAAAATGAAAACTAAACAAGACAATGAAAAGTGATTAAAGTGAATTAAAGCAAGCAATAACAACAAGCAGGTGATGATAATATGAATATGATGAGGGAAAGGTCTTAGACATGATAGATGGTTAGGGTGCTTTGATGCTAAACTAGAGAGTTAAATGAACAAACAATCAAGCAAAACTATTTAACATAGACTCTTAAGTAAGATAATCCTCTCATGAAGGCATTAAACTCCTATACTAATCCTCTTTCATACCAAATTTCCATTTGAGAAGCATGAATTAACAAGCATTAAGAATCAGTCTAATAAGTCATTTAAGCATTAAACTATCACTCTCATGATGAAAAACGCTTAAACCTCTAAGAAGCTTGGTTCAGGCATTTCTACAAACACCTTTTGGGTGGTGAAATTCCCAAGATCTAGACCAGAGTGATGTGCAAAGATCTAACTTTGAGAACAGCTTGTTAGAGAATGGATGATGCATGATCTAACTCCTAAACTCTCTAATCTAACATTTTAGCACCCTAACCTATATATCTAAGACCTTAAAATGGATCTACTCACTAATCATAGTTAACACACTTGATCTTTTGCAAGGAGTGATGTTAAGCATGATTAGAAGCTTTGAATGAGATAGAGAAATGATTTGGTGCAAAGAAACACTCTTAAAATCGATTAGCAAATGAGAGATATCTCTTATTTATACCTTTTAAAAGAAAATGAAAATGGCATAAAAGATGATTAGGGTTTTTGCCAAAATTGTATTTATACCTTTTAAAAGAGAACCGGGTCAGCCCGGAACAAACCGGGTACTGAACCGGTCTTGCTGGGTCTTTGGGTCAGACCCTCGCCTTGGACAAGTCTTGTGCCGAGGTCTTTATGGCAAGGGTGTCTTGCAACCTGGGTTGGAAATGCATGAACATCTCAAGAACATGCATGGATGCTCGCCTTTGATCTTCACGTGAAAAGGTTGTGATGAGAGAATTGTTTGTGAGCTGAACCGTGTATGAGAAATCCTCTGTATGAGCACTGCCGAGGTGTTTGGTCGAGGCTTGGACCAATCTGTTCGAAACATACCTCGGCTTGACCTTGTACCGAGGGTCTTAAGCTGAGGCCTCTAAACACTTATTCATATATATGCTCTTGAACCTTCTTTATGCAAAGCCTCGGTATGGCTACAGGTGAGGTAAATGACCGAGGCTTGACGAAAATGTTTCGTAAAAATAGCCTCGGTCGAGGTTCTTTTCCAACACAGCCTTGACACTTAGTCGTTTCAGGAGATGTTTATGATGGCAAAATGCCTCGACTTGGGCGAAGTAGAGACAAAA